TGCATCAGTGATGCCATCCAACCATCTCATTCTCTGTCGTCCCCTTCTCCTGCCTTCAGTCTCTCCCAGAATCAGGGTCTTTTCCAGTGAATCAGCTCTTTGCATCAGGTGGCCAAAGTATTGGAGCTTCAGCTTCAGCATCAGTCCTTCCAATGAATATTCAGGACTGATCTCCTTTAGGATGGACTGGTTGGATCTCCTTGCAGTCCAAGGAATTCTCAAAAGTCTTCTCCAACACCACAGTTCAAAAGCATCAATTTTTTGACGCTCAGCTTTCTTTATAGTCCAACTCTCACATCCATACATGACTACTGGAAAAACCACGGCTGTGACTAGATGGACTTTTGTTGACAAAGTAATGTATCTGCTTTTTAATACGCTGTCTAGGTTGGTCATAACTTTTCTTCCAAGGAGCAAGCGTCTTTTAATTTTATGGTTGCAGTCACCATCTGAGTGATTTTGAAGGCCTAGCAAAGAAAGTCTGTCACTGTTTCCATTGTTTCCCCATCTATTTACCATGAAGTAATTGGACTGGATCTTCGTTTTTTGAATGTTGAGTTTTGAGCCAGCTTTTTCACTCTCCTCTTTCACTTTCATCAAGAGGCTCTTTGGTTCCTCTTTGGTTTCTGCCATAAGGGTGGTGTCATCTGCCTATCTCAGGTTTTGGATATTTCTCCTGGCAATCTTGATTCCAGCTTGTGCTTCATCCAGTCTGGCACCTCACATGATGTACTCTGCATATAAATTAAATAAGCAAGGTGACAATACACAGCCTTGAAGTACACTCTTTTCCCAATTTGGACCCAGTCCGTTTTTCCATGTCCAGTTCTAAGAATTGCTTCTTGACCTGCATACAGATTTCTCATGAGGCAGGTAAGGTGGTCTGGTATTCCCATCTCTTGAAGAATTTTCCACAGTTTGTTGTTATCCACACAGTCAAGGGCTTTGGCATAGTCAATAAAGCAGAAGTAGATGTTTTTCTGGAACTCTCTTGCTTTTTGTATGAGCCAACGGATGTTGGCAATTTGATCTCTGGTTCCTCTGCCTTTTCTAAATCCAGCTTGAACATCTGGAAGTTCCTGGTTCATGTCCTGTTGAAGCCTCAGTTGGAGAATTTTGAGCATTACTTTGCTAGCATGTGAGATGAGTGCAATTGTGCAGTAGTTTGAACATTCTTTGGCATTGCCTTTCTTTGGGATTGGAATGAAAACACAGACCTTTTCCAGTCCTGTGGCCACTGCAGAGTTTTCCAAATTTGCTGGCATATTGAGTGCAGCACTTTCACAACATCTTCTTTTAGGATTTTAAATAGCTCAGCTGGAATTCCTTCACCTCCACTAGCTTTGTTCATAGTGATGCTTCCGAAGACCCACTTGACTTCACACTCCAGGATGTCTGGCTCTAGGTAAGTGATCACACCATCATGGTTGTCTGGGTCATTAAGATCTTTTTTGTATATTTCTTCTGTGTATTCTTGCCACCTCTTCTTAATATTTTCTGCTTGTTAGGTCCATACAATTTTGTCCTTTATCGTGCCCATCTTTGCACAAAATGTTCCCTTGGTATTTCTAATTTTCTTGAAGAGATCGCTAGTCTTTCCCATTCTGCTGTTTTCCCATTCTGTTTCTTTGCATTGATCACTGAGGAAGGCTTTCTTATCTCTCCTATTCTTTGGAGCCCTATATCTTTGGAGCTCTGCATTCAGATGGATTTATCTTTCCTTTTCTCCTTTGCCTTTAGCTTCTCTTCTTTCCTCAGCTATTTCTAAGGCTTTCTCAGACAATCATTTTGCCTTTTTGCATTTCTTTTTCTTGGGAATGGTTTTAATCACTACCTCCTGTACAATGTTATGAAACTGCATCCATAGTTCTTCAGGCACTCTTTCTATCAGATCTAATCTTTTGAATCTATTTGTCACTTCCACTGTAAGGGCTTTTATTTAGGTCATACCTGAATGGTCTAGTCGTTTTCCCTACTTTTTTCAGTTTAATCTGAGCCACGGTCACATCCCCGTCTTGTTTTGCTGACTGTATAGAGCTTCTCCATCTTCGGCTGCAAAGAATATAATCAGTTTGATTTTGGTGTTGACCATCTGGTGATGTCCATTTGTAGAGCTGTGTCTTGTGTTGTTGGAAGAGGGTGTTTGCTATGACCAGTGTGTTCTCTTGGCAAAACTCTGTTAGCCTTTGCCCTGCTTCATTTTGTACTCCAAGGCCAAATTTGCCTGTTACTCCAGGTATCTCTTGACTTCCTACTTTTACATTCCGGTCCCCTATGATGAAAAGGACATCTTTTTTGGGTGTTAGTTATAGAAGGTCTTATAGAGCTTCATAGAACCATTCAACTTCAGCTTCTTCAGCCTTAGGGCTTGGGGCATAGACTTGGATTACTGTGATATTGAATGATTTGTCTTGGAAACGAACAGAGATCATTCTGTCGTTTCTCAGATTGCACCCAAGTACTGGATTTTGGACTCTTGTTTACTATGATGGCTACTCCATTCCTTCTAAGGGACTCTTGCCCACAGTAGTAGATGTAATGGTCATCTGAATTAAATTCACCCAGTCCAGTCCATTTTAGTTCACTGGTCCCTAAAATGTCAATGTTCACTCTTGCCATCTCCTGTTTGACCACTTCCAATTTACCCTGATTCATGGACTTAACAGTCTAGGTTCCTATGCAATATTGTTATTTACAGCATCAGACTTTACTTCCATCACCAGTCACATCCACAACTGGGCATTGTTTTCGCTTTGGCTCCGTCTCTTCATTCTTTCTGGAGTTATTTCTCCGCTGATCTCCAGTAGCATAATGGGCACCTACCGACCTGGGGAGTTCATCTTTCAGTGTCCTATCTTTTTATCTTTTCATACTGTTCATGGGGTTCTCAAGGCAGGAATTCTGAAGTGGTTTGCCATTCCCTTCTCCAGTGGACCACATTTTGTCCAAACACTCCACCATGACCTGTCCATCTTGGGTGGCCCTACATGGCATGGCTCTTAGTTTCACTGAGTTAGACAAGGCTGTGATCCATTACAAGTTTGTGATCTAATTTGTTACAGAAAACTTAACAAATTAGCAAAACACAAAAAGCCACCCTAGTACTCAATGCTGCTGAGGGGGTGGGAAAAAAGGGGCAGGTTTTTCTATAAGATATTAAGAATTTTCCAAAATTAATGACAGTTGATAAACCTCACAGAGAATACCAGGTAGGTAAGTAGGCATTTTTCTGGCCAGGAGTTATGCCGTCTGCTATAACTGTAGGTTTCTGAGGCTTCAGTTTCAGCAATTATCTTTGTTTTTAGCCTCTGTTGGCTTTGTGTTTCCCTAGAATCTCCTTCCTATGTAGAATCTGAGCCTTGCAGTTCTTTCATCTGTAATCTTGTGTCTGCAGAAGTGGATGTAGTGTGTTTTGGGGGGAAGCATTCAATAATCTTGTGATTAGGTCTCAATCTTTGGGAACGTCTGTGCCCCTGGACACTTCACAAATTTTTCTCAGCATTTTTTCCCCTCTTTGGTGAGACAGGAAGACCAAAGGGGGCTGGAGTTAGTTAATTGCCCTCCTTCAGATCAGATAAGGCTTTGTTAAAATAGTTCTCCATGAGACAAAGCCTTCATTATAGAACAGAACAAAGAACAGAACTTGGAGTATTTTGAAATGGCTTCTCTTCCTTTTCTTTGCCCTGCTAGAAGCAGGAGGGGGTTTTCCTCTGATATTCACAGAGAAAATAAGGTGGGGCTCCTAGAAGTAAAACTCATGAAATTATAGGCTGTGCTAAGACTTGGCCCCTCAGAGATTTTAACTCTCGAGTGAATCTATACTGAACTCCAGTACTTTGTTGATTAGAATTTAAGTGTTCTTCCAGTACTGGCTCTAGAAGCAGGTTTCTGGGTTTTATCCACTTCTTGGGTTTTATCCACTTCTTTTTCCAGTTTTGAAGCCAGCAGCTTTCCCTGCAGTTTCCTCAATTCTTTGATGTATCTAAGAAGAGTTGCTTTTCTGTTTTTTCAGCCGTTTCTTATTGTGAAGGTTGGAGTGATAACTTCCAAGCCCTTTACATGTTGAAATGAAACCAGAAGTGTATAAATTGCTTTTTAGTGATAATTTTACAGAAGTGGACATCACAATAGAATCAAGAAATTGAGTCATTGGTTGTTGAGTTTAATTGACCTTAATTATGTTAGCCATTTTAAAGAACCTGCTTTATTTTAAGATCTACATTACACGTATATGCACATTCTTATAACTTTATTTTGTTTGCGCATTGCTATCCTATGGAACTCCTGACTGCTTAACAAGGGAGATCTTTAACACTTTTTATCCTCAGTGTAAGTCGCTTCGGTTGAGTCCAACCGTTGTGACCCTGTAGACTGTAGCCTGCCAGGCTGCTGTGTCCATGGGATTCTCCAGGCAAGAATACTAGAGTGGGTTGCCATTTCCTTCTCCAGGGGATCTTTTCAATGCAAGGATCAAACCTGCGACTCAGGTCTCCTGCATTGGCAGGCGGGTTCTTTACTGCTAGCGCCACCTGGGAAGCCAGGTGTAATTCTAAAGACTTTGATCCTTAAGTCTTTGCAATTACATAGAACAGCAGAAGTTTAGATATAAGGATGAACTGCTTAGGGAATAGCATTTTTAATGTATTTAACATTGGCTATCTTGTTACTTAACTTTATTTAACAAAATACAGCATATTATATTTTCTTAACCAAGAAATGTTTTGTAGTGCAGTAATTCTGTCAATTGTAAGTCATATAAACTCAGCCAGAGATATAGCTTTTTATTCATGCTATATTGGTCCTTATCAGATTTGGAAGTTCTTATGCTTAATAAACAACTGCAGTTTTATAGTGGTAAAAATACTAAAGTTGGTCAAATTTATTGTAATTACCAATAGAATATTTCCTATAAAATGTAATTTAACTAGGGAGCATTGTTTTAAATTACAATTTTGAAGCTTTAAGGATAGCAACTTTTGTTTTTATTTTCTTGAACTTAGGTTGTTCCCAGCTGTAATTGATCAGAAAACATTTATTTTCCCTCTGGAATCTGAGGGGAAGCTTTGGCAACCCCAAAAGGAACACAGTTCATTTCCACGTGCCTTTCCAAGAGTAAAGGTAGGAAGAGAGAAACCCGTAGAGACAGAAAGTGGATTGGTGGTTCCCGGAGGCTGGAAGGAGGAGGTGGGGAGAGTGGGGAATGACTGCTAATGGTTGTCAGGTGTCTTTGGGGATGATGAAGTGTCCTGGAATTAAACAGTGGTGACGGCCGCACAACTCTGGCAGTCTACTGAACATTGGATTGTATACCTTGAAAGGGTGAATTTAAGGTTTATCAATTATATCTCCATAAAGCTGTTAGAGACCTTCCCCCCCCACCCCCGCCAAGAGTGAAGGTAGGAAATTGTGTTCTAAATGGAAAAACATGCCATTGTTGTTTCAGATATGTTCATGGCATAGTCAATTTCTGTGACAAAAGAGCTTTCTTTGTAGTTAAGTTTCCAGGTGGCAAGGAATAGAGCCCAAGAGGTTTCTGCCTTTTGGGTGTGCTCTCAATTGAATTCCTGTTCCCTCCCTGACTCCCCCAAAGTGATAACAACTCACTTCTTCTGGGTACCAGGTGTTATTTTCAGGCTTTGGGGATGCTAAATTGTTTAATCTTCAGAATAATCCCAGAAGGAGATATTGCTATTATCTTCATCTTATTGACGAAGAAACGAAGATTCAGAAATGTTAGATATTGGATGGGCAAGGAGAACATAGCTGGTATCAGAGTAAGGATCATGAATCCAGGCTGTGCCCTTAACCACTGTGATACCCCTTTTAAAACAATAGTCTTATTGAGATTTAATTTATATCCCTTAAAATTCTCCCTTTTAAAAGTGACTTTTACTATATTCACAGAGTTGGGCAGCCATCCTGTGGCACCCTTTTTACAGTTGCTTGTATCAGTTCCAGGTACTCTGCCCATAAACATCTTTGCTGTGGACATCTTTGCCGCAACTATTTTCGCCTCAAGCATTTTTGCTGCATAACTCATTGGCCATAAAGCAGTTTTGCTATAAAAAAATAAAATAGCAAAAATAAAAGAGGGACATTAACAAAGACATAAAGAAATATGAGGAGTGAATGACAAAATTTAAATGATTTTTTTTTGCAAAATACGGAATATTTGAATTAATATGTGTAGATCATGGCAATCCTTTGCAAATGACCGATTTTATTTTGTGGGTTATACCTAAGCACTTGTCTTTCAAGTCTTTCGTTCATAGTATTTTATATATATTTTGTTTGTTGATGCATCTCCTTGTGTGGATGACATCACACTTTTTCATTTTTACTGTCATTTTTTTCCTTCATTAAGAGAGATCTGTGCATGCTCAGTCTCTCAGTTGTATCTGAATCTTTGGACCCCACGGGCTGTAGGCCACCAGGCATCTCTGTCCATGGAATTTTACAGGCAAGCATACTGGAGTGGGTTGCCATTTCCTCCTCCGTGTGACAAATATGCCAAGATTTACCACAGTATAGCAGTTTTCACAGAGCAACACAAAGCTCATGTGCACACCCACACCCTAGTGTTTGGAAACCACCACCTCCAATCTTTCCCAACATCAGGGTCTTTTCTAATGAGTCAGCTGTTCCCATCAGGTGGCCAAAATATTGGAGGTTCAGCTTCAGCATCGGTCCTTCCAATGAATATTCCAGTGAATGTAGGAGTAGAGACAGGAAGAGAGAAATCCATAGAGACAGAAAGTAGATTGGTGGTTGCCAGAGGCTGGAAGGAGGAGGAGGTGAGAGTGGAGAACTTCTGTTGTTTATAAGCCTCCAGTCTATGGCATTCAGATACAACAGCCTGAACTAATACACTATGATTAACATCCTGATACTCTTGTATGACTTCCACTTTGCACTCTCAAAGCAGCTCACTCCTATCTTTGTAATTGGACTTGTCACATTGGGTTTCTTCAGTTACCATCTGTGGAGTGCTTACTATGTGCCAAGGACTATTAGAGGCACACTGGGAGGAACAATTCAGACCAGGTCCCCATTCTTGGGTGATGGAGATACACCATCAGTAAGAAAAGACCAGGTAATAATAAAGGCTCTCATGGGAGAAAAAAAAAAAGTGCTATCATAAATGGAACTTAAACTTCTCATCTTTGTTACTATTAAGTCTCTGCTTTCATTAAATTTTTATTTTGCCAAGAATCTCAGGGGAGCCAGAATGGTTCATAAACACAAAATTGGAGATCTCTAGGTTATAAAGACAATGAAATAAAATATATGAAATTAGGACTATTTTAGAACATATAGTTGCTGTTACTAATATTATTCCAGGAAAAAAAGAAAAAAAAAAAAAAACTATGGCCAGAAATTTATTTTCCCCAAAGAGTTTTGAATCCTGGCAAATGATTATAAAGATAAGGGATATTATATGCCCCATGTTCTTTTAAATACTGCAAGCAGGGGTGAGCTTCATTTAGAAAGAGGCACGGACTGCTTCCCACCCTGACTTTACCTCCAGGGCCTGGATCCCTATTGTTGTTTTATATCTAATATCAGTGACATCTGCTTAAAAATGCATAACTGCTGACACAAAGATAGCCCTAATTTTGCATTGTAAAGTCAATGACAAACATTGCTGTTTTGCCAGCTGTTCTGTAAGCCTACTGCACCAACTCAAAACCTTGTATTATTGAGTAGTTGTGAAATCCAACTGGGATATCGCCACCTTTAATTGCCCACTGCCAACCTTTTAAACTAGGTTAAACCCCAGTTGCTACTTTAAGCTCTTTCTCCAAAGTGAATAAATTGTTTTTGGAATTCCATTTCACACGAAAAAACTAAAATGACAAATCATTTGGAGTTGCTCAGTTGTAATTAAGAATCACAATGAAGAATTATCACTCTTCTGTAACATTTGAAAAAGCCGTATTCTGGTGCCTTTTCTTTAAAGTGCATCTTAGCTCCAAATCAACATGAGCCCAACCCTTCTTTTAGGCACCGTGGGCACACATATATTTATAGCAGTCAAGGAAAGGGTTTAAAATAGCAAACACAAAAGAAGGAGGGAGGAAGAGAAGGAGAAAAACTTTATAGGCCAAGAGAGTATTTGATTTTCTTGTTGTGTCTGGAGAGCTGTCTGAAGGCAAATTTCAAAACAGAAGTTCCTAAACTGTTTAACCGGCTAGCTCTCTTTCGGTATTCACTCAATTCTTTGTTCTGTGAGTGGGCCAGGCTGCACGTTAGGTTGTTAGGTTAGAGCCTTTCGCGGGAAAGTTCTCTTTTCTGCAGTTGCGATTAGGTGTGTATTCTGTGGATTTTTTATTTTTTTCCCGGCTATGTTGCCTTCTGAGATTCCAAAACTCCCCACAGACCCACCTGTGAGAGGGTTTCCTACTGTGTGAATATTCATTGGAAGGACTGATGCTGAAGCTGAAACTCCAATACTTTGGAGTGAAGAACTGACTCATTGGAAAAGGCCCTGATGCTGGAAAAGATTGAGGGCAGGAGGAGAAGGGGGTGACAGAGGATGAGGTGGTTGGATGGCATCACCGACGCCATGGATATGAGTTTGAGTAGACTCCGGGAGTTGACAGGGAAGCCTGGCGTGCTGCAGTCCATGGGGTCGCAGAGAGTTGGACACGACTGAGCGACTGAACTGAACTGAACTAAAATGGTTTAAATCCAAGGAACTACTTAGAAGCATGATACAAATCGTATGTTTACAGAGCAGGGAAAATAACTGGATCTCATTGCTTGAGAGTTATTCTCCAAATGAATTCCATAAAATTGATACTCTATCAATTGAATGTAAAAAATATAGATTGTGATCTAATTCGATACAGCAATATGCAAGATCTGTGTATAAGATGGGAAGGATCTTTAATTTTGTGAATATGGGTCTAATTAAGAATGATTTTCAAAATTTGATCAAAACTAAAGTTTTGAGGATTTCTGTCATTATGAGGAATAATGTGATGAGAGATCAAAGATGGAAAAAGGGTAAGAAAGGGTTGCTTTACGGATTTTCACTGTGGGCTATATCTCACTTAATATTGGGTGGGAAAATTTTGCTAATGAAATACCAGGTGGATTTTATAGAATAAAGTAGGGAAAAGTGAATGCCTACAAGAAACCAACAAGCATTGTGAACTCTGCCTTCTCATTGGAATATACTTTAAAAACTACTTTTCCCTTTCTATGACTTCTTAAAACCTTCTTAGTATGAAACTATTCAAATAAACCAAAAATAGTGTATTAATAACTATTTTTCTTTCACCTGGATTTAATAAGTGTTAACCTTTACCAGTTTCGCTTCACCTATTTTTTATTGAAATGTTTTAAAATATAGATCTAATGACATTTCATCCCTTAATGCTTTTACGTACATCTTTAAAAACGAACACATTCCTCCTTACCCACAATACCATTATCCCATCTAACAAAATTAACAGTAATTCCTGAATATAGTAGATACTCAGTTTATATTCAGATTTCCCCAGTTATCCTACAAATGACTTTTACTGTTCTTTATACAAACTTGGACCTGTTAAGGTTTATATATTGTTTATTTTTTTAATACATTGTTTTTTAAAATATTCTTTTTCCATATGGTTTATCAAAGCATATTGAATATAGTTCCCTGTGCTACACATTAGGGCTTTGTTGTTTATCCATTCTAGATATAATAGCTTTCATCTACCAGCCCTAGACTCCCAGTCCATCCCTCTCCTGCCCCCCCACCCCTTTGGCAACCACCGGCCTGTTCTCTATGTCTGTGAGTCTATTTCTGTTTTGTTATTTTATTTCTCAAGTCTTTATTAATCTAAAGCAGGGAGACTTTGTTAGTTCATTGCTGTAACCAGTTACTAGACAGCGTCCAACCTGAAACAGGCTCACAGCAGATGGCAACACGATGGTTAGAAGTAGGGGTTTACATCCCATTCTAGCCCCCCACCACTTACTGTCTGTACCTCAGCAAGCCACTTAGCCTCTCTACGCTTCAGTTCCTCACCTGCAAAGCGGGCTCTGTGATACTCTGTTGTAAGGATAAATGAAGTAACACATGTACATGTCTATAACAGTGCCCCACACCTGGTGAATGCTATGTA